TTGTTGTGCCAGTACCAAAAACGAGCAGTAAGGCCGACGGGATCCACTGGGATGATGCGCCAATTATAGTAACTGTCCCTGGTTCCTTCTTGTGCCGTCACTGGTCACATGAGGAGCATAGAAATAAACGGTTTCGATGGTTTCAATTTGATTGCCCTTTGCCGAGGGAGAGCAGGAGGGATCTACCCGCTTGTGGTCGTTGTTTCGCTATATTTATTTCATCCAACACGACTCTATCCTGAAATATTGAACCATCGACTCCTAGAGGCTCTCTGTCATCTATAGGAGACTCCTTCCTTGCTAGTCTCTTGTCCTGTGTTCAGGGAGCGAAACACGCCTCATTGTAGTTCGTAAGTTATTTTCCCTTGATATGTCAAGTTGACATTGTCAACAGCATCGTCCAAGAATCCCGCTCACGCGAAATCGCCCACTGCAGTCAAACGCAAAAGTAGTGTGGTTGGGGAACTCAGCTGGTGCGCTACTGTTAGTAGCTGCCTCCTCCCTCCCCCTCCCCAATGTTGGGTGGACATGAGGATATTGTGAGACCTCATGCTCTGATCTGAAGGGGAGGGGTAGGGGGGCGACTCGCTGAGTCAAGAGTTTTGATTTTGCCTGGCGTTTGGCGAGAAAGAAAATAAACTCGAGGCACGGCCTCGCTAACTATATCTGATATAGTTTGATATAGACTATAGAGTCTATATCACACGGAGTCAAAAGTCTGATATAGTATATCAGCAGTCCAGTTTATCATTAAACTGCTACCATACCCTTTGAGGGGTTCACTTAACGCATACCTTATACAATGCCCACGAAACCGTGATGACACAACCGCACGCGCTCGCTCACCCCAGGCTCGCTTCGACATACATCAGGGTTGTGCTGGACTCCTAGGCTCTCTCCTGCGCTGGCTCTTTCACTCTCCGTACCTAGACGGTACTCCTTAGTCTGGACCTCTCAATGTACGAATATAGGGGAGTTACAAAGCTCATTAGAACTTCAGCGCGGTGGAGGAAAATCAGAACGGTAGACGAAAATCTGATGGCTTCAAGTCTGCCCGATGCCCGCCCCAGCTGTAGAGAACTCCATGGGAGACAACGCAGGATCGCTGTGTGAATTTACATGTGGCATAGGAAAAAAAGAACTCAAAGAGCTCAATCAAAAGAAGTCCTAATCCGCGGACATATAGGCCTCAATAGCTAAATAGTAATCTCTCAATGGAGCGAATTATTCGCCGAGTAGCGTCCGTCTGTAGAACTATGTTACGAGAAGGACAAATCCAACTAAAGGTCTTCTAACGGAGCTGTCATAAAATGACCAACGATGATTGGAGAACATTTGGCGACCGTGGGTTGCAAAGAAGACCGCAAAATAATGGAACTCGTTTACTAGTAGGGTCGAACTCAAAATAACTACCAATCAACGTACGATCGGGGAAACCCCAGTCATCCTTTCGGCTGTCGGTGATAATGAGTAGACAGATACCATTGTGATTCACGGCATAGTTCGTGAATGTCATCGTGAATAGGGTTGAGCCCTGAGGGCCCAAGGCAAACGTCAACAGTGGCAACTGGCTCATGTATTGGCAAGGGAGGGACCATGTCTTCTATTCTGAGTTGAACTTGAAATCGACATGCTTACCCGCAGTCTTGAGCAGTCTAGCACTCCGTGGCATCCTATGAAGGATGGTGAGGCAGAGTGTGATTATAGGCGATAGAGAATTCGTACAATAACGCAACGATCGATCGCTCCGACCCGTAGTTGATCATGCGCCGTCGAAGCCATATTGGGGTGTAGTATCTTAGCCTCCCTGACCCAAGTCTTACGTCTAGTTGATTCACTGCCCTTGTCGGTACTCTTCAACTAGACTCCTCATTCAAAGCTATCGACGATGGACTCACATGCAACTCAACTCCGCTTACTCTGTAACGGCCCGTATCCATATCCTGGTCATACGGAAAAAATTGACCGAAGACTAAGAAAATAAGAGAAAAAAAATACGGGCAACGAGCTCCCAAAACACGAACTGCGTGATATGCTTCACAGATCAGACTCAAACATCGGACGCGTCGCGGACCTTTGTTGAAATTTGATTGCTAATGATGAATCATCCTCGATGACATGTATATGAGATGAAAAGATAGACCGGATTAACCAGGATTCATCGCCTGATAAGTGACAACTGAAGTAGAGTCGTCACCTTTTAGGTAGTGATGTGTATCGACTACACATCTGCCTCAATGTGATAAACTTGGTGCTCCAAACCAGTTTTCCCTACTGCGAGTTTGATCATCCCGTGGTCACCCCATTCCTCATTCCAAGCATTCATTGCTAACCAATACTCTTGGCCAGACTCGACTCCCCAACCTATGAGTTTAAGAGTATGAGCCGCCAACAGTTGACCCGTTTTGTGCACGTAGACACCAGACTTGTAATATCGAAAATCTTCGTAGAGCGTCATCATCGCAGCAACCTGAATTAAAAAGACAATCCGACCATACTACCAGGCTGGTGGTATCAGCCAAATAATCCGATAGATTACCTCAGAGATAAATTCACATTCTCAATCGCTTCTAAGTACCGGTCAATTGCAAAGCCAAGTTCGGTTTTTTAATAACACATGTAATAGGGATTTCATCAAACTCAATCTAGTTGTCAACTAGATTGTACTGATCAATGATCAAATGATTCATAGAGATGCGGTACCATCACTTCATCACAGCTGCTAGGATTCAGTATCGAAATGAAGTGGACCCTATACTATGGGGCACATAGCTTCGATAGCTTACGGGTCCATTATCGAATATTTCTTGCTTGATCTTCTCAGGGCCTATCGGTAGACGTCCCCAGCTTTTAGCACGGTGAGTATCTCTAACATAGAGTAGACATGATTCATATGTACATTATATGATGCTTCATATTATATGAAGTCTCCACCAGATGGAGTCTATCTGATGTCCTCTTACTTCTGCATGCTGGTCCCGTAGGCTTTATTGGGGCAAGTAGTTGCACATGCAGGAAGGTCCCGGACCTACGACGGTGAAGTCCACCAACATGTGATGGCGCCGCGAGACGCCCTACACTAAAAATACCTGCGCGCATCGGGGATATTTGCTTTCCAGCCCGGGCACATGATTGCACTTCGGGAATGGATAAGGCCAGCAGCCATCATCGTTGCCCAGTTTCTCGGGCGGTTTGTATTCACCACCTAAACGAACTGCGAATGATGCGTTTCCAGAGGAGACTCGGTGCCATTCTCAATCTCACTCAACTTGAATGACCCGAGTCGGAAATTCCTACCAGTAACAAGGCCGTGATTTTTCATGAAGTTCAGGCCTTCAGGCACGGAGCCAAACATACACCCATTCGATCTGAAGATGAAGTTTATTCTATCTATCATTAAAAAAATGCATTATCATCGCCCGTGGTTCAATGCATATCTCTCACTTCGGACATCCGTTAGCACGATTGCAGCATGAAGTCAGGTAACCGAGAGATAGAATATCCGTGGTTTTACCGCCGGACTTGATGCATACACGATCGTTGAACATTCCGACGGCAGCACTTGCCCAGCAATTGTTACATTCGCCTTGTTCCCTGAGCGATGAATTTCCACTCAGGAGTTATCATAACAGCAGTAGTGAGAACTACCTCACATGGCCGATGACATCAGCACAGGAAGCAAACTTCTGCCGAGCGTCGAA